GGGAGGGAGGGAGGGAGGGAGGGAGGGAGGAGAGAGGGAGGGAGGGAGGAGAGAGGGAGGGAGGGAGGAGAGAGGGAGGGAGGGAGGGAGGGAGAGAGGGAGGGAGGGAGGAGAGAGGGAGGGAGGGAGGAAGGAAGGAAGAAAGGAAGGAAGGAAGGAAGGAAGGGAGGGAGGAAGGGAGAGAGGGAGGGAGGGAGGGAGGGAGGAGAGGGAGATAAGGAAGGAATGGACAGGGAAACAAAGGGAGACAGGGAGAGGAAAGAGAGCTCAGTATATGTGCAGATAACTCACTAATGGGCAAGATTATCATGCATCTTAGAAAAAAAAGAAAAACAAATAAGTCCACAATAGATGTTCCACAATATCATCTTAGGAAAATAAGAAGTCTTAGATTTTGAGGGACAAAAACAAAGGTTGCCCTAGAAGGATACCTGGCAAGTCTCTCACCCTGTGATTAAAATACACCTGAACATTTTGGGCTCTGTTGGGTTGACTATTTTTACGAATATGTGGTTACAACAAAAGTCCTCCACCTCATGTTTCTCAATCCTGTTTATATCAACTTAAGTTCTTGATGTCATTTGTGTGTTAGAGTCCTTTTCTTTTTTAAAAGATTTTATTTATTTATTTGAGAAGGAGAGAGTGAGAGTGTGAAAGAAAGAATGAGTGGGGGCGGGGCAGAGGCAGAGGGAGAAGCAGACTCCCCGCGGAGCAGGGAGCCCGATGCGGGGCTTGATCCCAGGACCCTGGGATCATGACCTGAGCCCAAGCAGACGCTTAACCAACTGAGCTACCCAGGTGCCCCAAGTCCTTTTCTTTTTAAGGATAGTTCATTATCTTGGTATCTTTGGGTACCGTGTATTAATTAACAGGGTAAGCCACGGGACACCTGGCAATGGATGCTGTTAGCACAGCTGCAGAACTCATCTCTGCTATAAAACTGCATTTAAATTTTGTCTTTTAGCGTTTGAATGAAGTATGATTCCATTATGATGCTATTGAGCACATTTATAATGTGAGCATTCACAAATACTCCCTCTGTGGTAAAATGGCTCAATTGCACTTCTTTTCCCCGAAGTGTTGAAGACCAGGATCTGTTGCCTGGTTTAAAGCAACTAGAATGTGAGGTCAGAGTCAGATACTTTAAGTCCTGCAGATCAAAAAGCAGAACACCATATTGACAATTTTCTTTGAGGAAAAAAAAATGCATATATTTTCACTCTAATTACTGTATCCTAGTCCTTAATGAGGTATGTCTTTCCAGAGAAAATTTAAAAAGAAAGTCTGATGCAGATAAAATGTTTAAATGAAAGGAGAAAGTGAGAACATTCAAATCACTCTGAAATAATGATAAGTTATAACAGCTTTCAACAATTACTTAGTTCTTATGAAAAGTATTTACCATGGCAACCACTGCATCAAATTGCTCTTAAATAGGTCCTGAGCCATACGCAAAAAAAAAAAAAAAGGAAGCAAGAGAAAATTCGTCTCCTAGACCCGTATTCCCGTATTTGCTCAGTTTAAAGCAAGGAGGTAGCCTGCTACAATACATGATAATACAAACATAATACATGTGCACCATGCTTTCTTTGTTATACAACACCTCACGTATCTCATACATGTGCTCATGATGCCAAATCACTTTAATGATCTTGATCTCCTTCCGCACGTTTCAGACAGGACTCCCAGACTATTTAAATGTGAAATAAGAGGTCTTCAGCAATCGATGTGGAGGCGTCCCTCCTCTCATGGAATTACTGAAATAGTGTTAAATTCTTAAGGTCCCTTCCATATCACAAGGCTCCTTCCACACTTTGATTTCATATTATAAATGAAAATATACAGGAGTTTTAAGGAAATAATCTAATATGTGGACAAAGATATAAGAACAAAGATATACAGTGCAGCACGATAATAATCAAGAAATCAGAGCATGTTCTTAGTCTTTTATTCTTATTAGGGCAACTCTGGAGCCAGACTGCCTTGTTTTAAATCCAGTCTATGTGACTTCTTTCTTTTTTTATAAATATTTTATTTATTTGAGAGAGACAGCTCACCAGGGAGGGGAAGGGCAGAGGGAGAGGGAGAAGCAGACTCCCTGCTGAGTGGGGAGCCAGATATGGGGCTCAATCCCAGGACCCTGAGATTATGACCCGAGCCAAAGGAAGACGCTCAACCGACTGAGCCACCCAGGCGCCCTTATGTGACCTCTTTTTCTCTCAGTTTCTCATCTGTAGAATTGGGATAACCATAATCCCTATGTATAGGATTATTGTAAGGTTTATTCAAGTCAATACAGGCACAATGCATGGCAAGTGCAATGTGAGCATTTGCTATTATTGTCTTCTTCATTATTAGTAAGCACATACTATGTGCCTGGCCACAGGATCCTTTATACACATAGGCTCATTTCATCATTGCAGAAAACTTACATGATAAGTATTATTAGTCTCATTTTGCAAATAAAAAGTCAGAAAAATGACATAATCTGCCAAAATCACCCAAGAAGTAAATGGTGCATAACTAATTATATAAATAATTAAGGACGCTGGGCCAGTTTTTGCCACATTTAGGGTGGAATAGTTGTGAAGAAATATCTGACTTTAAAATATAGGCTACGTGGTTTACAAAAAAAATCAGAGGACTAGAGAGTAGTTACTGGCCAAAGCATCTGATACTGAAGTACAACCCAAGACCACTGGGGGTGCTCACTGGGAGAGACACATGATATTAACAAAGATATCAGAGGCAGAGAAAACATGGAATGATTTCAGATACCATACCCAAATCATAAATCACAGGGTCAGGTGCAGCAAATTGCCCCATTACTGTGCAGAACCCCAATCTAGCTGCTTCTCAGATGCGCAGCTCGGCACAGGATGGTCCAGGAAGCCAATAATCATTTATTATGTGACAACCATTGACTTTCTAGAAGAGGGTCAGCAAACTGTGACTCACGGGCCAAATCTGGCCCACTGCCTATTTTTGCAAGTAAAGTTTTATCGGAACACAGCCACACCTATGTGTTCATCCATTCTCTGTGGCTGTTTTCAGACTACAATGGCATGATCCTGGGGTCCTGGGATCAAGCCCTGAATCTTCTACATACTACATACTACATACTACATACTTCTACTTCAACAACTGGTAGAATTTCAACATACAAAAATATACAGAGATTTTTCACTCCAAGTTATATCTAAGTGTTAAGCTATATTTGAAATGAATTTTTAGATATTAACAATAAATCCAAGTAACATCTTGTTTGAGTAACTTACAGGACAGCACCGATCAGCTCTAACGTTGCCTATGAGATCTCATGACCCGTGATCACGCCTTGAGCCCTGAACTGAGTGCCGAAAATGATCCTTCAGCAGGTATTCGGCTATTTGGCCTTCCCAAAGCCAAAACTGACGCTGGAATTGTAGTGCCTACTTCCTCCTGCAAAGCTGAAAATATGCGGGGATGCCTGGGCGGCTCAGTCTGCCTTTGTCTCAGGTCCTGATCCCAGAGTCCCAGGATTGAGCCCCACGTTGGGGCTCCCTGCCTAGCGGGGAGTCTGCTTCTCCCGCTCCCTTTGCCCCTCCCCCTGCTCCTTCTCTCGCGCTCAGATAAATAAATAAAATCTTTTAAAAAATAATATATGCAGGGCGCCTGGGTGGCTCAGTTGGTTAAGCGACTGCCTTCGGCTCAGGTCATGATCCTGGAGTCCCGGGATCGAGTCCCACATCGGGCTCCCTGCTCGGCGGGGAGTCTGCTTCTCCCTCTGACCCTCCCCCCCTCATGTACTCGCTCTCTCTCATTCTCTCTCTCAAATAAATAAATAATCTTTAAAAAAAATAAAAATAAAAATAAAATATGCAGACAAACCTGATTTTGTTTAGGGTATTAAGAAATAAAATCCAACTGAGTAGACTTTAAAGATCTTATTGACTTATTTAATGATTCATGAATTGGGCAGCATCCAATTTTAGCAGATAGAGGGTAACTCTGAGGAGCTGTACAGAATAAAGGAGTTTATAGGCAGAAGGGAGCTGGGACAAGGAGGTTGTACTACGCAAATAGGCGGACTGGTTATTGCAAGGTTACTTTTCTTTAGGGGATGGTAGGGATCTATCGGGCAGATTACCTAATAGTGCTGATCAGGTGGTGGGTTTAAGATTCCGTTCCTGGGAGAGCCAAAACTGTCATGGTCTCATTTTGGTAACGTGGAGCTTAGCATTAGCAGCTCTATTTGGGTCCTTTTGTCTTGTTTTAAACAAATATTACATGGATATGTGTCACAATGACAAAGGCATATCCGAGAGTGAAAACCCAAGTCAGGCACAAATTCGGCTTTTCTGTGGGGGAAGATGGGGAAATGCGCTTGGGAAAAGATACACAGAAGGGCCAATTTTATTTGTAACATTTTATTTCTTAAGCAAAGATTTGAAACTTCAGTATTTATTATATTACTCTACCTCTTCTCACATGCCTCAAAAATTTAATGACAAAAGAATAAGAAAAAATAGCAGCAAATAAAAAACTGTGCTTATTAAGAATGCCCATGCAGTTCCAGAAACCGGAAATATTTTTCATTTACAAACTTTTTAAATTGGAAAAAAAATTCTAAAATAGGGATTTATCTTTTCTTCAGGGGTAATATTATTGGTTTTTAAAGCACCCACTCAGCAGTTGATGCATTTAAATCTCAGAAAACAAGATAAAAATGAGCATAAAGTTAAGGTAGCCCTATACCATTTTTAATGGACATCTTTCTGCCATAGTGATAGTAATTAAAGGAAAAAGAAAAAAATAGCTCAGAGGAAAATAAGCTCGGTAGTTTGATTGGGTTTGAAACCAACTGAACAACATTCAAATCTGCGGTCTTCAAGGGTAAGAGCTCTATTTTAAGTGGTATGTAACCCCATCTCAAAAGCTGGTTCATGGAAACGTTCCCCCCAACTTGTTTGGGCACAGTTTTTCTATTTTCAGTATTACCTGGCACAAATGTTCTGGTTTTCTTCACTGATCCCCAAACCTCTGATCAGAAAGCCGTGGCCCTGGATCCTCCTTGGTGATGGTAGTTTGCCCGCGCTAATTACCTGCTTCATTTCCTGTTTTCTCTCTCATCTAGATACAACAGATACCCGGCAGAGCAGGATATGACAGAGGGAATGCTGCAAACACGAATGAAAGCAATTACTCTGAGTCTTCGGTGCATTTGCTCGTTTTCATTTCGGTAGATAAGTGATAGTATCTCTTGCATGTAAAGTGGGACAGGCTACACCCGTTCAAGGAGAGAAGAAAAGGCACCTGCCTCCAGTTATCACTACCAATTAGCAGCTTGTTTGGCTTACTCAGGCCTTGGGGAGTGGGAGGGGGGTTGGTGTTTTGTTTTGTTTTGTTTTGTTTTAATGAAAGCCTTCCCTCTAGGGAGTTTTTGAATTCAAATTCTGACTTTGTAACTTTATATCTACTTTATGTCTTTCTAAGTCTCACTTGCTTTAAGAAAGGTTGGAATAGAAAATAGACAAGATTTAGCAAACAGCATGATTCTTTTGGACCAAATGAGGAAAGGGATGAGGGGCTTAGGAATTCTTTCACTGAGTGAGATAATGAATCATTTCCTTCACAAAAAAAACTCTACCACAGCAGATGAATTGCCTTTCGTGATATATTTAAATCTAAGTCCCTGCCCTGAAACTCATTTTTATTAATGCTTTCTACTGACTTTCTAGCAGAAAAATCACCCTTTTAAACATTTGTTCTCAGAGAGTAAAATAATGGTTGCCTGGTTCTGGGGGGCTGGGGGTAAGGATGAGAGTGACTTGCTATGGGGCAGGGGGTTACTTAGTGGGATAATGAAAATGTTCCACAGTTAGATTTGGGTGGTGGCTGCACAAGTGTGGATAGACACTATACAGACCTGGGATTTTTCCACCATGCTCTCTCGCCTCTTCCCAGCAGGGTCCTTCTTTGTAATTGATCTCATGAATAATCTAACCCAATAGAGCCCCGTGAGAGACACTGGGGATTAGCAACCCCAAAGCCATTCACAGGGTCCTCTTCTGCCTTTTTCTACTATAGAGGCTGGAAAGCAAATACCTGATTTTCCATAATTGCTCTGAGGAGCGGCCAAAGGGATAGATACAACTGGCAGTGCTTTGGTCCCTGTTGCCTTCCCCCTTCTTCCTGCCTAGAAAGCAAACATGAGGTGCCAACAGCCTGTTGGGGACATGAAGTGACAAGCATGAGGATAAAAGCCCATCAGCTAAGAAAGGCGGAGTAGAAAAATTTGAAAGAGCCTTGGTTCTCATCAGCATTTCTTAGCAGCTGTACCCGCGCTGGATTGCTCAGTTCTGGACTTCTCGTCTTGTAAGAAAAAGAAAACTCTTTTGTGTTAACCTACTGCTGCTTGCTATTGCAAACAGATATCCTGTTATTTGCAACCAAAAGCACTCCTAACCAGCCAGTTATGAGACTTGCCTATTTATTCATTCATTCATTCACTTATTTTTAAAGATTTTATTTATTTTAGAGAGAGAGAATGAGTGAGCGCAAGCATGAGCAAGGGGAGGGGCAGAGGGACAAGCAGGCTCCCCGCTGAGCAGGGAGCCGGACATGGGGCTGGATCCCAGGACCTCAGGATCATGACCTGGGCCGAAGGCAGTCGCTTAACCAACTGAGCCACCCAAGTGCCCCAGAGACTTGCTTATTTAAAAATTACTTAAATATGTTTCAAAGTGGTTCTATTTTAATGGCCAGGGCCTGCTGCTTGCGCACAGAAGAGACCATTCATAGTTGGGATGCGAGTTATTTTATAATTTAGTGAAGAATCATATTTTGCTTAAACCTTAAAGTTTAATTTAAAATATTTTATCTTTCTTTGGTATATATGTGCAATGGAATATTATGCAGCCATCAAAAAATTGAAATCTTGCCATTTGCAATGATATGGATGGAACTAGAGGGTATTATGCTAAGCGAAATACGTCAATCAGAGAAAGACAGTTATCATATGATGTCACTAATATGTGGAATTTGAGAAACAAGGCAGAGGATCATAGGGGAAGGGAGGGAAAAATGAAACAAGATGAAACCAGAAGGGGAGACAAACCATAAGAGACTCTTAATCTCAGGAAACAAACTGAGGGTTGCCGGAGGGGAGGACGGTGAGGGGTATAGGGTTGCTGGGTGATAGACATTGGGGAGGGTATGAGCTATGGTGAGAGCTGTGAATTGTGTAAGACTGATGAATCACAGACCTGTACCCCTGAAACAAATAATACATTATATGTTAATAAAATATTTTATCTTCCTTATAGACCTAATAAGGTAAGTGCCACACTAGAGATCTGGGCACAGATGAAGAAAAAGAATGTTTCACAGAGAAGCATTTGAGCTAGGCCCTAAAGAATGGAGAAAAAAGGGGCACCTGGGTGGCTCAGTCGTTAAGTGTCTGCCTTCAGCTCAGGTCATGATCCCGGGGTCCCGGGATCGAGCCCCGCATTGGGCTCCCTGCTCCGCGGGAGGCCTGCTTCTCCCTCTCCCACTCCCCCTGCTTGTGTTCCCTCTCTCACTGTCTCTCTCTCTGTCAAATAAATAAATAAAATCTTTTTAAAAAGAATGGAGAAAAAAGAGAGTTCCAGACTGAAAGAATGTATAAGCTCAGAGGCACGAAAGAGCATGATATGCTAGATGGGTATGTGAAGCTGGAGAAGGAGAGATGATGTTAGAAAGCAAATTGAGGCCAAATCCTTTCAAGTCTTGTATACCAGACTAAATTGCTTAAACTTTCTTTTTTTTAAACAAGAGTGAAGCACTTTTTTTTTTAAAGATTATTTATTTATTTATTTGACAGAGAGAGACACAGCGAGAGAGGGAACACAAGCAGGGGGAGTGGGAGAAGGAGAAGCAGGCTTCCCACGGAGCAGGGAGCCCGATGCGGGGCTCGATCCCAGAACCCTGGGATCATGACCTGAGCCGAAGGCAGACGCTTAAATACTGAGCCACCCAGGCACCCCTAAGTTGCTTAAACTTTATCCTACAGGAAATAGAAGCTCTTAAGAGGTTTTGAAGGAAAGGAGTGACATGATCATATGGATGTTTTAGAAAGTGGGGCACCTGGGTGGCTCAGTCAGTTGAGCATCTGCCTCTTGATTTCAGCTCCGGTCATGACCTCAGGGTCCTGGGATTGAGCCCCATGTTGGGCTTAGTTTAGGATTCTCTCTCTCCCTCTGCCCCTCTTTCCTCTCCCCCTCCCCCAAGCTCATGCTCTCTTTCTCTCTCTCTAAAATAAATTGATAAAATCTTTTAAAAAGAAATTTTTAAAAAGAAAGCAAGAAAAAGAGATTGGGGCCAGAGGTAGGGAGGCTATTTGGAGAATACTACAGAGAGGATTACCAAAGAGAAGACACCACTGCAGAGGCTGCAGTGGACCCCCTGGGCAGGGGTCCAATGGAGGACAAAGCAGGCTCAGGGTCCACAGTCAGAAGGAGCTGCGGTGAGGCGAAGTCTGCAAGGGAGAGGGGGGGGGTCAGTGTTCCCAGGAGGCATTGCTAAGGCTGTTAAGGGTCACCTGGTAACTGCTGGAGGATGCAGCTTAGGAAACAGCACAGCACAGAGCAAACAGGTGGACAAGGCAGCCATGGAGGCAGAGGACCCCCAGCCTGAGGACCCCAGCCTTCCTGCTGTGGTAGGCTCCTAAGCTACACCCCTGACTCTTCTCCATACACCTGCTCACCATATTAGGAAAAGAAGCAGGCAAAGGGGGAGGTTATCTGAGAGTTACAGTATTTTTATCCAAGAGAAACTGAACATACCTATTAAATTAATTAAATAAGGAGGCCATTAGACCAAGGTGGCCCTAATGCCATGGCAGCCTATGTAAGCAAACCAAAATCTAAGCCTGTAAATGCCTCAAGGTTATGAAACTGAAACCTAAAAACAACCAATCACAAACAACAAACTAGACTAAACTATAACCAATCAGTAATCTCCTTATGTCCACCTTTTCTCTAGAAAGTTCTTACTCCTAACCACTTCCAGTTTGGTCCTGCCCATTTGAGTGGAGTTTCACTCAAATAAGCTCTTTAAATTTTTAATCTGCCTCAGTTTATCTTTTAACATGCTCAGAGAGATCATTTCAATTATCAGCATCACCATGCTTTAAACCAAATCCAACATCCAGCTAATCACCACCACCACCACTAACAGCAACTAACAATGCAGGTGGGAGCTCTAGAGAAGCCCAGATCAATTATGGACAAAACAATAGGAAAAGCCATCTTCTCTGCAAAACAGCTGTAGGGCACAAGTTAGATTATGCACCCCTGATACGGAAGCACCAAGAAAGCAGAGTCAAACATACAAACATCAGCTGATTCTATCCTGCACTGCCCACGCATGGCCCTGAATCTAGGGGACATCAGCAATCTGGTCACCAGAGATAACTCTCACTTAGGGATCAGGTATGTTCTGGGGGACCCGGCCCTGACCCAAGACTCTCTAGCTCTTTGCCCCAATCTATGCTCATCAAATGGCCCATGATTATTACTTCATTGTCACCAGTTCTTAAATTCTAGAGCCTGGTACTGGAAAAGGATACCCCTCCCCCCTTAAAAAGAAACAGAATGGGCTTTTATTTTATACAGACAGGACCTAGACCCTCCGTCCAGGGCACACGCATCATGTCAGAAGAGGCACAAGTTGGGATCAACTGTGTTATAATCAGCATGAGATACGTAGATCCCAGCAATTTCTAGAACCATTGGCTGGGTTCTCCCTTAGGGATTTGAGTTCAACAAAAAGACAGGAAACATTCAGCAGGATGGGTGATTTCCCAGGAAGTCTCTGACACCGCCGAGCCTCCTCGGCCACAGTCTTCCCTGAGTCTCAGTTTTCTCAGCCATGAGAATAACAATGGTTATTACCTCCCAGGCAGAGACACTACATAAAACACCTAGCGTGCACATCACCTGACACACAACAGACACTGACCAGTGTTAATTCTGATTCCTTTTTCTGAGTTTCTGATTCTAACCTGAGGCAGAATCTCCAGGATCTTAAAGATTGGCCTCACCTAGGGGTCCTCTGTTCTCAGTTGTAATTCTTCCTTGTCCTTAGTCAGGGGAAGATTGTAACCTGTAGGCAGACTTGGGGCTCTTCTTTCATGGCATGATAGGACATGCTTCTGGAAGGAATGGTGTTGGGGGAGTGGGAGAACAACTCAAGGAAATGCTTGCTCCATGATTCTCAAACTTCAGTGAGCATGGGAATCACTTAGGGAGTTTATTAAAAATACAGATTCCCAGGTCCCTCCCTCAGTGACTGAGAGTCACTGAGCTACTGAGGGTCAGACCCAAAAATCTATATTTTTAATAGGGCCCCCAAAATATTCTAAGGTGCACCAAAGTTTCCTCCTCCTTGACCTGGTTACTCCCTGAAGACAGAGTACATGGTAGGGCCCAGTTGGGGGCTGTAGGATAATAAAAAATATTTGGTCTTTGTCTCTGCTTCCTGGCACAGAGCTCTCTTGAGTGATAAGAGTGTCTTAAGTGATGATTGTTTTATGCTAATGAGACAACCATTGGAGTGTGGTAGGGGGCTAGATAGCTTCAAGTTGAGAACTGGTCACAAGAAAAACCAACCTACTAGAAGTTAGAATTCTCAGCCTCACCGCTTGACCTCCGAGGAGGGGAGAATGGTGGAAATTGAGTTCAATCATCAATGGCCAGAGATTTAATCAACCATGCCAACCATTGGATTTAACCAACCATTTAGATTAATCGACCTAACGAAACCTTGATAAAAATCCTAAAGGACAGGTTGGTGAACACATTCATGCAGAACATGGAAGCTCCACACCAATCCCCAGTCCCCACCCCAATCCCCCATAATTGGTCCTATGTATCTTTTCCACTTGGCTGTTCCTGAAGTACAACCTTTAGAATGAATTGGTCAACCTAAATGAAGTGTTTTCCTGAGTTCTGTGAGTCATTCTAGCAAATTATCAAATCTGAAGGGAGATCATGGGAACTTCCAAATTTGTAGTCAGGCTGGAAGAAGTCTGGGTAGCCTGAGTACCCCATTTGCAACTGATGTGTGATGTGGAGCCAGTCCTCTGGGACTGAGCCCTTAAACTCATGAGATCTGACCCAAACTCTAGGTGAATAGTGTCAGAATTGAATTGAATTGTTGGGCACCCAATTAGTGTCATAGAATTGGTTGGTATCTGTAAAAACATGACACATTTGGTATCAGAAAAAAACCACACAGGGGCCCTGTCATATTTCATCTCCTTTTGACTTCACCTGGGCCCTTGTACAACTGCACTTCTTTATAGAATGTGATTAAGCCCAGAAGAAATGGCCAATTCTGTTGCAATTCTTTGACCTAAATTCAGTGTTAGCCTTTTGAAGAGGAGCAGAAGTGGGGCTTAAATTTTCCCTGTTCAAACCTACCCAAAGGAGGGCAGAATTTGCCTATGCACCTCTGACCTGCTGATTGTAATCCACACCATAGCCAGTGGACAATCTCCAACAGACCAGGGAGGCAAGGGCCCACTCTAGAATAGGGCACAAGTCCATTTTCTGGAATCTAGGTTCACTGACCGCCTTGAATCTGGCTGGATACCACTTGACCTGCCTCTTGACCTTTTGACCTGCCAGACCCCTTCCATCTAGCTAGATTCTTTGCCCTAGCTCCTCTTGGCTAATTATCAGTAGTCAAGCCTTCCTTCATGCCCCAAAATTGCTACAATAAACTCACTCAGTCATTTCCACCAGAATGTGCCCCAAGAGTCCAGGTGAAGGCTTTGCTGATAAGCTTTCCTATCCTGGACTCATTCCTGAGGTCTCAGCTGCACTGCTGTCCCAGCGTTTATTAGGATGCTATACCTTCCCTTCCTTGCCTTCTCCTCTCTTTCCTCCTGGAGAAGCCACACTGTTTTATTAGTCAATGTCACCCATCTTAGCATACCACATGAAACCATGCAAAGGGCCCTCATTCTTCATCTTTTTAAAAATATGTGGTGATTTTTGACAGAGACTTCTTCTCCTAAGACCCTTTTAGGACAAAGTAACCTGGTCAATGATTGTCTTGCCCACCTGCAAGGAGGGAGACACGGTCAGTTTGGTAAAAGGTGGCACAAAATCAAGGGACATGACAGAGGCCCTATGTGCTGAAGTCCAGGTGGAATGAACAAGCTAAGTGCTTCTACTTCGAGTAGAGGCTCAAGTCTCCCATGAAAGAGAAGCTCCCCAGGAACTAGAGGGCCATACCTCAGAGCCACCATTAATGAGGGGAAAGTACCTGCCAGCTTCAAGGTCATCCCCAAGGATCTCAGCTGGGCCCTCCTTAGGATAGTGCCCCAGGCAGCTCCCAGTCACTTGGCACCAGGACATTCTTCCTGTGACTACACTGGGCCAACACTGACTCCTTAAAACCCTCCCTCCGACTCTGGCTCGGTGTCCTCTTCCAAGATACAAACAGCACATGCACTGTGGGTGATTGACTGGGGTTCTAGATATCCTTCAGGGAAGCCATTTCTGGGAGGGCTGGGGGGAAATCCTGTGTGGCTTGAGCTCTTCCTCCATTTAAAAACACATCACTATCAAACTGGATCACACCCTGTACCACCCACCCCCTGGACATTATGAACCTCTCCAACTAGAGCTGTTGCAGACCTTGTCACTTTGATCCTTGCAACTTCTAGCTCCACACTCACAAAGCCACCATCTTCTGGACTAAAATCTCTGTCTCCTTCTAGATCCCCGGAAATGCTCTGACTCCTTTGTGTTCTCACCTTGGGCAGTGCCCGAAGTGTACCTGATACCCGTAGTACCATCCCCAATGTGTGCTCATAGCTGTCTGGCTAGTGTACACCCAAACCAGGCTCAAATTTTCATTATGTGCAAAGAATGGGAGGGACGAGGTGGGTGTTAGCAACCCTCCAAGGTCCCTGGAAAGTATTTATTGAAATACTATAAACTTTTAGTAAAGAGTGTGGCGGACTGCTCCAATATCATCTTCTTTACACTACATGAACAGAACCCAGAGAAAACAAGATTTCCCAACCTACCCTGAAGTTTGATATGATTATGTGAATAAGTTGCAGAACTTTCAGGATGTATCCTCAAAGGGAGGGGGCCTGCCCATTCTCCAACATCCCCCCTCCACACCTCCTCCCCTCCATCTGCTGCTCTAAATGTGGACACAGTGGCGTACATCCTTGGCTAAGTGGACTTCAGGTCACACTCTTCAGATAGTGAAGCAACAAGTTAGAGGGAACTTATGTACCAGATGACCCACATGGAGCAGAACTGCCATACTCACCTGGACCACTGGCTGAGAGAACCAATCCACCAAGGCCCTGAGCATCCCTGAACATCCTTTTTGGTTATGCTAAGAATGCAAAGCCCTGACTACTCTTTAGGCAACCATTTCTCGGGGTTGAGTTTACAGTGAGTAGATTCAGCTTCTCCCAGACAAAGAGTAGGCTTGCTTACCACTCACTATAAAAGTGGTAATTCCAGGTGTAATGCAAACCCACTATACATACCGTGTCTACCTTGGTTCTTCCGTGTTGCCTCCATGGGTCGTGGGGGGCATAGAGAACCAGCACCAGCAGGCTTCGTGTGCTTCTTGCTATGCAGTGAGTAATGAAATCCTTTGTCTTGGACCCAGAAATCTGTCTTCAGTCAGCATCTATGAAACAGTAATTTATTAACTTGCAAATAGGGTAAAATCTCAGATCCTGACATACCTACCTCTAGACTGTTTTTAGGGAAAAAGAGAACAACTTGTATCTCTCTTGAGCCACTGTTATTTTAGATCTCTGTAATAGGCAGCCAAATCTAATTCTTTCTAATCAAAGAGTAACTTTTCAAAGCTCTAATTTGGCAAAAAAGAAAAAAGAAAAAAAAAACATGCTTGTTACATCTTGTTAGAAATTTATCTTTCAAGCTGAGCCAAATGTGATCCATTCAAAAGCAAGAAATTATAAAAGTAAGAAGTGTGTGCCTCTCGGGACCTCTTGAACAAGTGTCCTAGAGAAATTAAGATCATACCATGACTGGTGAGCGGCTATTGCAGGCACTGAATCGAAGGTTTACCTAATCAGGCTGGCAAAATCACAAGAGCAAATTCCCCCCATTGATGTGAGTCAGATAAGCTTTAAATGTTTTAAATGCTTGAGTGTTACTTTCTGCCAAGACTTAGTATTCAGCCACGCTTTTTGATATAGGATTCCATATTATGAGGAAGGGAATCCAGATGAACCCGGATCTGCCTTGATCTCAGACAAGGCGGGGGTGAACGTGCTTCAGGCGAGGCTGAATCCGAGCTAACATTCTTTCTAGAACGTTGGCAGCTCTTGTCCTTTGAAAAACAGCAGGGTAATTGAAGATGTTGAGAAAGGTTCAAGCAAGTTTGCATCACTACCACATTAGTCAGGAGACCGGAGCCGACAAAGATAAAAGAAGAATAGGGTTGAGGATGTGGCAGCCCCAGCTACACAGCCACCGACAGAATGTTGACAGCTCTTTGTGAGGCACAGGTATTTTGATGTGTCAAATATTCTAAGTGCGTGAATTCTCTCTGCCAGAATTCCCTGTGCACCCGTTGAACAATTCTCTAACGAAATTACCCCATGACTCTTTTTGGTGGGCGAATGTTGTTTTCGCCTGTTCAGCATCCATTCTCACTTTGGGACTAGCATCTAGATTTTCCCTTGGAGAATCACCCCTTCCCGCTCCCCAGTCCACATTGCTGGCTGAGGCTGACCCAACCCTACCAAGCGCCAGGCAATTGGTGCAGAAGGGCACAAGACCTGGTGAGATTCAACACTGGGACTTTTGTTGATACTATTTGGGAATGTGAGGCTTGCTGTGTCCTGAGATTGCTACTGTAGGGATAATATAAGCCTGGAGATGCTAGGAATCATAGGTAGAAAAAAACAGCCTGAAAATAGGGCCAACACAGTGGAGAACAGAACAAGAGGAGAGAGGAACCGAGTTCTATTGACATAGTTTTAGCCTAGATCCAGCCACGCCTGAAGGGAGATTCACCCACAGACTTTTCACTATGTTATCTAATAATTTCCCTTTTTTGCCTAAGCCAAGTTTGAGTTGGTTTATGACTTGTGGAATTAAAAGAGTTCTGACTCTTGAAACTATTGCTGTCACAAAGGACAACCAGAAGAGTTTACCCAGTCTATATAAAACCAAAGAATGTGCTCAGGCCCTGTTGTGGCTTTAGAATTTCTATAAGTAGGTGCCACAATCAAGTAAAAGGAAATAGATGAGGGCGCCTGGGTGGCTCAGTCGTTAAGCGTCTGCCTTCAGCTCAGGTCACAGTCCCAGGGTCCTGGGATCGAGCCCTGCATCGGTCTTCCTGTTCAGCGGGAAGCCTGCCTCTCCCTCTTACCCCTCCCCCTGCTTATGTTCCCTCTCTCTCTGTGTCTCTGTCAAATAAATAAAATCTTAAAAATGATTTTTAAGGGATGAGGGACTTGTTTTGAAGCAGCTTTACATGAAATTGATTAACCATCTATTATTCATATCAAAAAATGAGGGGGAAGAAAAGACATCCCCCCAAACCACTCCCTTAGCAACACCATTCACTCAGACTAAGGAAAGATCAATCAATGGGGTTTCCAGAGCACTATGAGGGTCTAATATATATCTGACTATCATTGCTTACCTGAGGCTGAAGGATGTAGTGGAAAGTACCCTGGATTAAAATCCTAGCACTACAAAGCCCCCGAGCTAAATGAGCCTGGACTAATGGCTTAAATTCAGAGAGATCTAGCTTCTTTTGCAGAGATAGGAGCATGTAACCACTTCCTTATATGCTGCCTGGTATTGTGGTCAACTGAGGACCTGGATGCCAAAGCACTCTACAAATTCTAATACATTACACCAATGTAAAATGTTCATCTCCTAATTTTTATGGCAATTACAAGTTTAAAAAATTAGTTTCTGGGATTAGGTTACATTGGGCTCAAGAGGGCATTGCATTCACTTACTGTAGGTAAAGAAGGGCCCAAGGAGAAGAGCTAGTCCTTGGCATGTGCACACTCTGGAAATGAGGCCCTCATCACCTCCAGACCTACTATACTGTCATTTGTTTGTTTATTTATTATTATGTCTTCTGCCAAGAAAATGGAAGCTCCACAAGAGTGAGAACTTTCACTGCTGTATCCCAGTAACTAGAACAGATTAGTAGATTGCTAAAAAATATTTGTTGAATGAATGTTTCAATGCTGGAAAGGATGTGAAGCATCTCTCATACACAGCTGGTAGAACTTGCAATTGATAAAACCACTTTGGAGGACAACTTGTCAATATCTAATAAAGTCAAATTGCACATGTCATGGGCTATTGCTGGGTATATCACATGTCTTGGAATATACCCTAGATGATCTTTTGCATACGGGCATAAGAATATTTATAGCAGTATTATGTGTAAGAATAAAAATTGTTGGAATCAACCTAAAGTCTTTCAATTTAAAAATAGATAAAATAATTTTGGTATATATCCATGTAATGCAATATGACATAACAGGAAAATAAATGCATGAGGGACTCCACAGGTGCTCAGGCATAAATTTCATAATTATAATGTTAAGGAAGAAAATAAAAGATATTTCTGCAGAAGGATGCAGAAATATCATTTATATCAAATACTTAACCTTGCAAAATAAGCTAGATCTCCCTGAATATATGTATTTTTTTTTTTTTAAAGTAGGCTCCACACCCAACGTAGGGCTTGAACTCATGACCCTAAGATCAAGAGCCACATGCTCTACCGACTGAGCTGGCCAGGTGCTCCAAATGCACAAATATTCCTTTAAACTATCACTGTGGAACTAGGAAAATAGGATATGTTGGTAAGAAAAGTCAAGATTCGTGCCTGAAAGCTGACCTAACACAAGGTAGTCCTATTTAGGACACCATGTTCAGCCCTTAAAAGTGAAAGGAAAATGAGCTGAAGACATGTAGTCCTTACATCTTAGAGAGACATCACAGTATGTTTCATTTTCTACCAAGCCTAGCTACAGTACTTCTCCTAGTGACACTTGGCTCTGGCCATTCAGATGCATTTCTCTCTTTCTGTGACAACAACGTGAGCTTGGCAGAACACTGAGAACCGTAGGCTGAGAAAAGAAAATGCAGTCTTCCTGCCCACAGAAGAGATTCTGAGACATCCGCACTAACACAGCATTGCCGAAAGGGCTTGTACATGAATCAGCCACAAATGGTAAGTGGGCTGATGAGGATTGCCGAGTTCATGAGAATTTCTGGTGAAGCAGCACGCAAGAGTGCTATCCGTTACTGTGTGTGCATGCTGCAATCTGTAACTTCACTTGTTTGGGTCTTTTTGTTATTATGTGTTACGCTTCACTAAGGCCTGTTGCAAGTTCTCTTTTTCCTTTGCTCTCACAGTCCCAATGCTTCATGAATGAGAATTGAGGCTTGTGGCAAGAATGTTAAATATTCCTTCAAACTACAGACAGGAAGGGCTGAGCGACAGTTCTGTTGTATTAGCGTCTGATTCCAGGAACACGTTTCCAATTCTCCTCATTGCCCGACCATAGATGCGTTTTGGCGCTTACCACAGTCTAGTTGAATCCCCTCCGTGGTACCTAGGAACCAAACCAAAAGCAGTGTCAACCAAAGAGGAGTATGAAGGCAGTCAAATAAAACATGTCCTCCGGCTTCCAGCATCCTCCCCCTTCCTAGGACCAGTACTGCCTAGAGTTGACACATTTAGCACAGAAATACACAGGCTCCTATATTTTATTTGACAATCCTGTTAAGGCCTTTAGGAGCTCTATCTTAGTCTTATGGCATCACAGCCTATTTTGGGGGGAAAAAAAAATCTGAGATTAGTCATCAGACTATTGAGCAGCCTTTCTCAAAGTCTGGTCCCAGGTAATATGCATTAGAATAACCTAGGACACCTGTGAAAGGAACAGATTCCTGAGTCTTGCCCTTGACTCCCAGAATCAGAAATTCCGGGGATGAGCCTGGAAATACACATTCTTGTGTCTCAGATAACTCAGAGGTACTCTAAAGCATGACGGTTATTTAATGATCTGCTTGTCTTTTCCTCTCCCGTCAGTACATACTTAAAGCCTTTTTCTGCTTGTGGAAAAGAGATAATAAAAGTACAGTATGTGACATTTAAGGGGACCTTAATAAATATTCCCTTAATTGCCCCTTTTTTTAAAAAAAATTACTTGTTTGAGAGAGAGAGAGAGCAAGCAAATGAGCACATGAATAGGAGGAGGGGCAAAGGGCTCTTTGCTCTTCAAGCAAGCCACCTCCCCTGTTGAGTGGGGAGCCTGGAGCTTGATCCCTCTACCTGAATCATGACCATAACCCACTGGGCCACCCAGGCACCGCTCCCTTAATCCCTTCTTAAAGGAATTTTGGACTTCAGGAACAAGACAGGGTAGATCCTCAAGGCCAGTTCCCAGACCCCTGAAGAAAAGAAAGTCAGAAGCAGTCTCTGACCACCTCCAGGTAACTAAGCCCTAGTTCATCTACACTTGACTCTGTCCAGGCTGCTACTCCAGACCCACCGCCAAGAAAGCCCATGGGCAGAGCTTCCAGCACAAACTCCTCCAGAGCTTCACCGTGTGGGACAAACAGAAGGAATCTTCAGTCAGTGTTCAGAGTCGCCTGCACTTATCTGCGCCTTCTCTAAATTACCTCTGCACTTCTTTCTCCTCTGGATCAAAGAGTTAATTTAAAACCAGAATTCCGCCCCCACCCTCAACCCCAACATTCGTCTATCTCTAATTCTGCTCTCTGCATTTTCCAGAATTTCATCTGAAAGTCTGTCACCAACATTAATGAACCGCTAGCTCACTGCCTGTTTGAGAACCGCATGCGGGAGAAGGGGGTAGAATCCTGCAGATTCAGGACTTGGGTTTAGAAAGACTACAGGCCCCAAAATGCAATTTCACCTTCCAAAGACTACCACTCCCAACATGCAATGCAGCCAGAGTTAGCAAAGGAAAAGCCTGTCTGGAAGTTTTGCCTTCCTGTCACCCTCAGGCAAAGGAAAGATTTAGGAAGTCGCCAGAGGATATTTTTTTGCAGGAGCGGTCACTCTCTAAATCCAGGCAAGGAAGGGGAGGAGTCTGAGCCGGGTCCCGCCTCTTCTCCAGTAAACTCCTCCCGCTCCAGCTTTGGAGGCTGGAGTTCCCAGGGCTGGGAGCAGTTGCACGCCCCCGGCTTTCCCCATGGCTTCGGTGACCAGAGCCGTGTTTGGAGACCTGCCCTCGGGGGCAGGGACAGTGGAGAAGTTCCAGCTGCAGTCAGACCTGCTGAAAGTGGACATCATCTCCTGGGGCTGCACCATTACGGCCCTGGAGGTCAAAGACAGGCAGGGCAAGGCGTCAGATGTGGTGCTCGGCTTTGCAGAGTTGGAAGGTGGGTTGAACTCTGCCCCGGGCTGCCGGGCCGGCCCCAGGCCCCCGGCCCCCCCAGACACGCGCCCCGATCGATCGGGCTGCTGGCGGCGGGCAGCCAGAGCAAGTCCCCGAGCTTGGCGCCGTCAGGAGTGCTAGCAGTCGGCCAACTCTGTGTTTCCATCCAGTGTCCGGAAAAAAGACAAATGAATGCGAACCTTGGCCTCTGGTTATCCAGTTAGGCTTTGCTCTAATTAATTTAGAGTAGTTGAGGGTAAGATGAAATCCCAGCAACCCAGGAGCCATCTTTGAACTGCCAGGTCTGTGAGGGCAGGAGAGGGAAAAGCTGGCTGGAGGGGGTGTGGCTCCGCGTTCTTCCCCTGTGTTCTGAAGTAAGACAGTCCAAGACCTGCCTTTTCTACTTGTTTTCTCCCTCATCAGATCCTCTTGGAGGACTGATCGTCTCAGAAATGCTCCAACATGGGGACGCCTGGGTGGCTCAATCGTTAAGCGTCTTTCTTCAGCTCAGGTCATGATCCCAGAGTCCTGGGATCGAGTCCTGCATCGGGCCCATCGGGCCCGCTGCTCGTTGGGGAGTCTGCTTCTCCCTCTGCCTGCCGTGCTCTCTCTCTTTCTCTGACAAATAAATAAAATCTAAAGAAAGAAGGAAGGAAAGAAAGAAAAGAAAGAAAGAAATGCTCCAACATGGCTCAGTGGGTGCAGAAGTGGAAGACCAACTCCTTGTCTAGCAATGTCTCCCAACTAGGATGAACTTCTAGTGGAATCCGTGAGCAATTAGGATCATGTATGAATCCATGCATTCAAAAACGGTTCATTCAGTTCTCATTCAGTGAGACAGACATGGTCCTCACCCTCATAGAGCTTGCCCTTTAGCTGGGGAGATAGACATTAGGCAAATAATCGGATTCATGAATAATTACACTTGCAGTTTGATCTCAGCAAAGGAAAATGGACGCAGAGCTATCTCTTGTCCCTGCTGTGTAGCTAGACATTGGAGATAAGGTCTGAAATAAAGTTGGCAAAGGGAAACTGCTTGAAGATAAATACCATTTGCTCAGGGGAAGGGGCGTGCACAAAAACTGCTAGAGAGGAGGTTTGAGGTTTTCCTTTAGGTGCGTCTTTCTATCTGCTTGGTTCTTTAGCTAATGTAACATGGCTCATGGTTAGAAGTCAGCAGAAAACTCTGGGTCTTGGTTTTTCTCTGATGGGGGTTCAGATCTTCTGCCTTCAGAGTCAGAAGGCAAGAGGGTTGACAAGTGACAAAAGAGGATTCTTGAGAGTCATTTTGCTGAGTCACTGCTCTCTCTGTTAGTAGCATAGCTATTTTCTAGGCTGGCGCAGAATCACAAAGAGATTACTTGGCTGGTGCAGAATTGCCCAGTGGAGTTGAAGAATTCGATGAGGGGCCTAGAATTCCAGAGCCAACAAAGCATTGGAGATGCTAAGCTGTCAGCATCTACTTTTACCACCTCCTCCATCTCTGCTTTATCACCGTTCAAGAGATAGTGGCCCTCCCTCTGCACCTCTACACACACACATTCACCTACCCTCCCTCCTTACCTGTTTTTTTTTTTTTTTTAAAGATTTTATTTATTTATTTGAGAGAGAGAGAATGAGAGAGAGCACATGAGATGGGGTAGGGTCAGAGGGAGAAGCAGGCTCCCTGCCAAGCAGGGAGCCCGATGTGGGACTCCATCCAGGGACTCCAGGATCATGACCTGAGCCGAAGGCAGTCGCTTAACCAACTGAGCCACCCAGGCGCCCCCTCCTTACCTGTTTTAGTTCTGCTGCAAGAGTCACGTGGATCTTCAAAGACAGAGCGTCTGTGGAACTCTTAGGAACCGTGTGCGGGGACATGCCGCCTGGGAAGTAGCAGTGTCTTCATGGGCGTCAAGTGCCGATTTTGTGAAGGTATCCATATAGTGGAGTCGTCTCTGAGTCTAGGACTGCTGTGGGAATCTGGGTGAAGAAAGTATTATCCCCACATGTTCTTAAAAGGGAGAAAAAAAACAGATGCCCTCGGATTATAGGGATCTAGCTTGTGCTGTATTGCCCTCCACGTTAGTAACCTGTCTTGAGAACATTAAATAGCATTTTCTTATTAGGATACATCACAGGCTTCCCAAAAAGGTTGAATCAAAGCCTCTAAAATATTCTGGGTGCTGGGTCGAGACAGACATCCTCATTCCTATGCTGTAATTTAGATAATTGAATTATTGATTTTAAAAGGAAAGCACACTATTTTCAGAAGAGGGGAAGTTGGAAGAAAGCCCTCAGAATATCAATTAGTGCTTTCTAATATGTGCAGCCATCCTCGTAGTTATTGCAAGTGGCCCTTTGTTCCCTTTTTACAGCCCTGTCTTTCAGTTTTTTTGTAGATTCTTTCAGTATTGCTAAAGATAAAAGAAGACTTCATTTATGTCATAACAGGAAGCATACTTGTCTTGGTTAGAGTAGTGTGAAATGGTGCTCTACTACTATTTTGATTAATTCTTGTGTATTAAAACCCCTGGTAAGAAACTGGCAAAAATGGGCACCTGGCTAGCTCAGTTGGTGGAGAGTATGGCTCTTGATCTCGGGGTTGCAAGTTTGAGCCCCCCGTTGGGTGTAGAAACTACTTTTAAAAAAAAAATCTTAAAAAAGAAAAAAATTGCTAACAGTGATTGTCTTTAAGAAAAGACACTATGTAGCTGGGGTGGAGGGTTAAGAAGGAGACTTTATTTTCACTGCATATTCTTTTGGAGTATCTGAATATGTAAGTATTATATAAACAAAACGGAGGTAAATCATTTAACGCTACAAGACATGACAGAATATGACAGAGTAGGGGGTTATCTTGACATTACTATGTCCCCAAAACGTTTTGAGCCACAGGGCGTAGCTAAGCATGGATAATTCCATGAGACATGGTCCTTTCCTAACTGCCAGGTTAGATGTGAACGCTCTCCAGTTTCCCAGATAGCTTATATAATCTGCTTGGATCATGGCCATGACCGGAGGTCAGAATGGTTCAGTTTCTCCCTGGGAAAATTAGATCTTTCTTCTGCAGAATTCTAAAGAGGTAAATCGTAGGATCTTTTAGTTACAGCCTGGAAAAATCAGTAATGCCTCCTATGAATTTTTCTGCCACTTTTTGTACGTAAAATACTTAAAAGTGCTTTTCGTCTTCCTGTCCCACCTACAGTCATTATGACTTCTTTCAAAACCTGTGATGAGACTATTTGCCTATAAGCCACGGGTATAAACAACCTACCCACACAATCACCACCTGCCTGCCCCTTTATCTTCCCCCCCAGTCACCACCAAATACCCAGCTATTACTGCCATGAGAGCCATTATGGAAAGAAATAGAAAAAACAGACTCTGTGTTTTTCGAAAACCGCAGTTCATAGGGGGGTGGAGGAAAAGGGAGGGGCTCGGTATTGCAGATGCCCAGTGCCCTTAGAGGAAACATTGAGGATTCCTGGTTTAGATCTCTGCTTTGTCCCCTAAGCAAGTTATTGAACCTCCCCAGACTTATTTCCTCACCTAAATTAATGGATAATGATGATTAAATGTGCAACCAGCTGTGATAGTGTCTGTAGTGAACAATCAATAGCTTTTATCTCTTTTCCTTCCCTTGCCTCCAAATACCTTCCCTCACACTCCTGGAACCTTTTTTTTTTTTTTTTTAATTTATTTATTCATGAGAGTCAGAGAGAGAGATAGAGAGAGGCAGCGGCAGAGGGAGAAGCAGGTTCCCCGCCTAGCAGGGAGCCCGATGCGGGACTCAATCCCAGGACTCTGGGATCGTGACCTGAGCCGAAGGCAGACGCTCAACCATCCGAGCCACCCAGGCGCCCCCCTGGAACCTTTTACTTCACTTAGTTAATACTGAGAAAAGGGCATGAAGATCCATGTGGATAACCAGCAGCCATTTGAAAATATATAAAATATTGGGGACAATTAAAATGCTTGTCAATGAAAGTAATGGCTGTTTTCCTCCGAAAGCCAAAGGAAGTTCATTCAGGTTGTAGAAGCTTCGCCTGGGATTGGTTTAGAGGAAGAGTTTTCAATGACTAAACCATAAAGACAACATAAACTACTGCTCCCAACTGTCTCCAAAAAACTCTTCAGAACAAATGGATTTTATACTATCTTCATATGTTAGGCACAAAGTAGGCACTTTGATTTCAGACTTTAGGGCACTCTGGCTGAAATTTGGGCTGTATGAGGTGCACAGCACAGCTGGGGTCCTTGGGATGGTGGAAGAGCGGAAAGATCCATTAATATATTTTGGCCAGTCCTTTGCCCAGGTAAAGGGACAGACTTTTCCTCTACCCTTTATCCCACATCAGCAATGGGCTTGATTAAATCATCATTGGTGGCTTGACCTAGAAACTTGGCCCTTTTTGCATGGAAAACAGTATTTTCTGCATTTCCTTTTTTTTTTTTTTTTTTTAAGATTTTATTTATTTATTTGACAGCGAGAGACACAGCGAGAGAGGGAACACGAGCAGGGGGAATGGGAGAGGGAGAAGCAGGCTTCCCGCAGAGCAGGGAGCCTGATGCGGGGCTCGATCCCAGGACCCTGGGATCATGACCTCAGCTGAAGGCAGACGCTTAACGACTGAGCCACCCAGGCGCCCCTATTTTCTGCATTTCAAAAATGTCTTTATTTTATCCTTTTAAATTTTTTTTTTATCTTTTTTTAAATTTATTTGACAGCGAGAGAGAGAGACAGAGAGAGAGGGAACACATGCAGGGGGAGTGTGGGAGGGAGATGCAGGGCTCCATCCCAGGACTCTGGGATCATGACCTGAGCTGAAGGCAGATGCTGAACGACTGAGCCACCCAGGTGCCCCATATTTTCTGCATTTCAAAAGAAGCTTTTTAGTCATGTCCTATTCAGAATTTGAGGACTGTCACTTTCTATAATTCTGATTTGATATAAAACTTAGTAACATATGAAGATAGTATAAAATCCATTTGTTCTGAAGAGTTTTTTGGAGACAGTTGGGAGCAGTAGTTTATGTTGTCTTTATGGTTCAGTCATTGAAAACTCTTCCTCTAAACCAAGCACTGACAAGTGCTTCTTGTCTCCATGGGCTATTTACTGTGGCCAGAGAGTGGTCCCTTCTGAGGGAATTCTTGCAAGCCCATGAACCATTGGATTTGTCATTGTCTCCACGGAGAGTTGGGGCTCCGTGTACATTTGTTGAATGGATCAAAGTAGGAATCAAAGATACATACGGCCAAATAATTTTGAACAAAAATGCTGCTTTTCTTTACATTTTTGAGCTCCTGAAAAGCAGATGAATGGTCCACATTATACATCATCAAGGAAATGCAGATTAAAATAATAGTGAGGGTTACCAGAGTGGCCAAAATCCAGAACACTGACAACCCCAAATGCTGGTGAGGATATGGGGCAACAGGAAATCTCATTCCTTGCTGGTGGGAATGCAAAATGGTACCACCGCTTTGGGAGACAGTTTGATTGTTTCTTACAAAACCCAATGTACTCTAACCATATGATCAAGCAGTCATGCTTCTTGGTAGTTACTCAAAGTAGTTAAAACCTTATGTCCACACACACACACAGACTTATGTCCACAAAAAACCCTGCACAACGGTGTTTATAAGCAGCTTTATTCATAATTGCCAAAACAAGCAACCAAGATGTCCTTTAGTAGGTGGACAAATAAACTGTGGTACATCCAGACAATGGAATATTATTCAGTGCTAAAAAGAAATGAACTATCAAGCCACAAGGAGCCACTAAAACGCATATTACTAAATGGAAGAAGCCCATCTGAAAGGGCTACATACTATCCAATTCAACTATGACATTCTGAAAAAGGCAAATTTATGGAGACAGTAAAAAGATCTGTGGTTGCCAAGGGCTAGGGGGATGGGAGAGATGAGTAGGCAGAACACAGAAGATTTTTAGGGCAGCGAAAATACTCTGTATTATAATGATGGATACATATCATTATTCATTTGTCCAAACCCATAGAATGTACAACACCAAGGGAGAGCCCTACTGTTGAACTAGGGACTTTGGGTGATAATGATATGTCAGTGTGGGTTCATCAATTAGAAATGTGTCTCTCTGATGGGGGGTGTTGGTATTGGGAGAGGCTATGCATGTGTGGGGACAGGGGATGTATGGGGAATCTGTACTTTCTGCTCAATTTTGCTGTAGACCTAAAACTGCTCTAAAAAATAAAGTCTAGGATGCCTGGGTGGCTCAGTCGGTTAAGTGTCTGCCTTTGGCTCAGATCATGATCCCAGGGTCCTGGGATCAAGTCCTGAATTGGGCTCCATGCTCAGCAGGGAGCCTGCCTCTCCCCCTGCTTGTGCTCTCTCTCTCTCACAAATAAATAAATAAAATCTTTAAAAAATAAAGTCTACTAAAAAAACAAGAGCAGATGAAGCAAAACCAAGAGAAGTTTTCCTGGCCTATTGGAACTCCTCTTGGTTACCCAGTGTAAGGAGTTTTAAAGCTGCAGCTTCAGAAAGAGAGGAGGGTGGGGAGGGAGGTGGGAGCTGGTGGAGAGGTCAGTCTGGCCTATGCGAAGGGATGGTAGTAAGATCAATTCACCAGAAAGCCTTGTTTTCAAATAATGTGTGCTTCAGAGTAAGTCCTTAGGAGCCAGACCAAGCTCAAATCCAGGTTCTTCTGATAATTGTTGTGTTTGGGGGCAAGTTACTTAGCCTTTCTGTCCTCAGTTTCCACATCTATAGAAGGAGGGTAGTAATACTGTCTAGCTCGTAGAACTATCCTGAAGATGAAATGAGTTAAATAGAGCACTTAGAAAGTAGCCGAACCTTAGGAAGAACTCGGTGTTAGCTATTATGATAGTCCACGGGCAGGACTCTGAGGACCTGCAGGTTAGCCGGGGAGTGAATCAGGAGAGACCTGGAAGAGGATGGTTAATGTTTCACTTGTGCCCAACTGGTTGAGTAATGGGAACCTGTGATCTGTAACTGGCCTAATGGTTCAAGGTCTGTATCCTGAGAACCCCTCCAGCCATGGTAAAAATTCATATGCTTGAATTGCATTCTCTTCTTTTTTTATTTAAATTCAGTTAACTAACATATAATGTATTATTGGTTTCGGAGGTACAGGTCAGTGATTCATCAGTCTTATATAATACCCAGTGCTCATTAGATCACATGCCCTCCTTAATGTCTATCACCCAGTTACTCCATCCCCCCAACTTCCCTCCCCTCCAGCAACCCTCAGTTTGTTTCCTATGATTAAGAGTCTCTTATGGTTTGTCTCCCTCTCTGATTTTTGTCTTGTTTTATTTTTTCCTCTCTTCCCTATGATCTTGTTTTGTTTCTTAAATTCCTCATATCAGTGAGATCATATGATAATTGTCTTTCTCTGACTGACTTATTTTGCTTAGCATAATACCCTCTAGTTCCATCCACATTGTTGCAAATGGCAAGATTTCACCTTTTTTGATGGCTGGGTAGTATTCCATTATATACATATATATCTATATATCTATATCTATATATATATCACATCTTCTTTACCCATCTGTCAATGGACATCTGGCCTGTTTCCATGTTTTGGCTATTGTGGACATTGCTGCTATAAACATTGGGGTGCACATACCCCTTCAGATCATTACATTTGTATCTTTGGGGTAAATACCCAATAGGGCAATTGCTGGGTCGTAGGGTAGCTCTATGTTCAACTTTTTGAGGAACCTCCATACTGTTTTCCAGAGTGGCTGCACCAGCTTGCATTCCCACCAACAGTGTAGGGGGGGTTCCCCTTTCTCCACATCCCTGCCAACATCTGTCATTTCCTGACTTGTTAATTTTAGTCATTCTGATTGGTGTGAGGTGGTTTCTCATTGTGGTTTTGGTTTGGATTTCCCTGAGAATTGTATATTCTTCTCATCCACATAGACGGGATGGATACAGAGTACCACAGGAAAGGGGGATGGAATTCCAAGGGCATCTGAGTGAAAAACAGAGTAGACAGTGATGCTAGTGATAAGGCAAAAAACAAACTACCTCCAAACCTTCGTCTCTACCATTGTAATCATATGGTAGAGGAACTTAAAGAGAAGGAAAGAAAGAACATTCCTGTGCACAGACTTGTAAGTAAAAGGGCATAAGCATATTGCTTTTTATAGCCCCTAAAAAGCCCCACAACAATTTGCTCCTCAGTATGCCATGTAGCATAGTAGGGCGCCTGGGTGACTCGGTCAGGTTAGTGTCTGCCTTCAGCTCAGGTCATGATCCCGGGGTCCTGGGATCGAGCCTGGCATTGGCCTCCTTGCTCAGCGGGAAGCCTGCTTCTCCCTCCCTCTGCCTGCTGCTTCCCCTGCTTGTGCTCTCTCTCTCTTGCTATCTCTCTCTGTCAAATAGATAAACAAAATCTTAAAAAAAGAATATGATAGATGGATATGTAGTCACATGGACAGATCTTAAGGCATTTGATAAATGAGAACTTGCAAAACAATGTGCATAATACGATTCTCTTTATATAAATATGGCATTTGTGTAATTGTATGTGCTTCTCTATAGTTAATTAAAAAACAAAAAAACTGGAAGTGTATATGCCAAACTGTTAGCATTGGTTGTCACTGGGAAGAAGAAGAGTTGAGGCATAAAAGAGGGACTTTCACTTTTTTTTTTTTTTAAGATTTATTTATTTATTTGAGAGAGCAGGTGGGGGCCAGGTAAGGGGCAAAGGGAGAGAGAGAATCTCAAGCAGACTCCTCACTGGGCATGGAGCCTGATGTGGGGCTCGATCTCACAACCCCGAGATCATGATCATGACCTGAGCCAAAATCAAGAATCAGACACTTAACCAACTGAGCCACCAGGAGCCCCTTTCATGTTTTACTCTTTATTAAGGTTGCCAGATTTAGCAAATGAAAATACAGGACACCTGATTAAATTTGAATTTCAGATAAATAACAAATGGAGTTTTTTGGGTTTTTTTTAAACTTTTTATTTTTTTTGTTTTTGTTTTTTAAGGTTTTATTTATTTATTTGACAGAGAGATAGAGAGAGCACAAGTAGGCAGAGCGGCAGGGAGAGGAAGAGGGAGAAGCAGGCTCTACACCGAGCAGGGAGCCTGACGCGGGTCTCAATCCCAGGACTCTGGGATCATGACCTGAGCCGAAGGCAGACGCTTAACCAACTGAGTCACCCAGGCACCCACGTTTTTTTAAAACTTCTTTAAAAAGTTTTTATTTTTTCATTTATTTAAGTAATCTCTACACCCAACCTGGGGCTCGAACTCATGAGCTCAAGGTCAAGAGTCACATGCTCTTCTGACTGAGCCAGCCAGGCACCCCAACAAATGGTTTTTAAGTGTTAAGTATGTCTCATGCATAATAATAATATGGTTGTACTTATACTAAAAAATTATTTATTGTTTATCTGAAATTCAGATTCAACTGGGTGTCCTATATTTCCTCTGACAAGCCTACTCTTTGTTTCATGCTCTTTAAAGGATAGTTTCATGAAATAATTGTATTATTCCAAAAAAAATAAAAAGAGAAAGAAGAAGAATTCTTGAGACAACACAAATATATGTTAAGGAAATGTTTAGTTAAGGAAATTGATTGGCCTAGAAAAGAGCAGATTACAAAGCAGCATGTAAATTAAGACTCCACTTCTTTATAAAAAGAAGAAGAAAAGCACATGTCTGCATGTACTAAAAGGCAGGAGGCTATACATAAGAATATTAACAGTAGTTCTCTCTGGTGATGAGATTGGGATGATTTAAATTTCTTGGGGCACCTGGGTGGCTCAGTCGGTTGCACTCTTGGTTTTGGCTCGGTCATGATCTCATGGGTCGTGAGATCCAGCCCCAAGTGGGGCTCTGTGCTCAGTGCAGAGTCTGGTTAAGATTCTCTCTCCCTCTCCTTCCTCTCCCCAGCTCAAATAAATAAATCTTTATAAAAAATAAATTTCTTCTTTGTGCTTTATGAAGTTCTTTCACAATGTTTATAAAGAACACACATTACTTTTGGAAAGGGAAAGCGTCGTGTGTAAAGAACACCCTTTTCCTGTGCTCCCCTGAGGAGTTGAATTTGCCCAAGTTGGGGGCACCTGGGTGGCTCAGTCGTTAAGCATCTGCCTTCAGCTCGGGTCATGATCCCAGGGTCCTGGGATCGAGCCCCGCATCGGGCTCCCTGCTCAGCGGGAAGCCTGCTTCTCCCTCTCCCGCTCCCCCTGCTTGTGTTCCCTCTCTCGCTGTGTCTCTCTCTGTCAAATAAATAAATAAAATCTTAAAAAAAAAAAAAAAAAGAATATGCCCAAGTTGTTCCTACTTTCAGCTGCTCTCAGAAGAAAGTGGTGGGCAGCACTGTGAGCCTCAGCTTCGGTTTGAAGTTTAAAAAAAACATTCCATCTCGTGTCCTGCAGGCTACCTCCAAAAGCAGCCCTACTTTGGAGCCGTGGTTGGCAGGGTGGCCAACCGAATTGCCAAAGGAACATTCACGTTGGACGGGAAGGAGTATAAGCTGGCCATCAACAATGGGCCCAACAGTCTGCATGGAGGAGTCAGAGGGTTTGACAAGGTGAGTCAGGGGCACTGGACAGAGTCCTCACCTGGCGTACTTCACAGAGAACCTTCAAACGTACCATCTATTCGCCAGGCTCAATCCTCGGCCCTGCAGCAAATGCGTGGGGAGGTGATAGAGGAAAGAGGCTGATCCAGGCACTCGGGGGGAGCAGATGCGCTGGCCCTGTTCCAGGACCCATCCTTCTGTAGCTCTTCGGACTGTAACAGGCAGGGGAGCCCTGAGTGAAAGGGAAAGACAGGGAATGACTTTCTCCCTGTGTCGGGATCAGGAAGTCCAGTGGACCTTGGGCGCAATGGAAAAGTGGCTTAAAACTAGTACCTGCCGGGCGCCTGGGTGGCTCAGTTGGTTAAGCGACTGCCTTCGGCTCAGGTCATGATCCTGGAGTCCTGGGATCAAGTCCCGCATCGGGCTCCCTGCTCGGCGGGGAGTCTGCTTCTCCTTCTGACCCTCCTCCCTCTCATGTGCTCTCTCTATCTCATTCTCTCTCTCAAATAAATAAATAAAATCTTTAAAAAAAAAAAACAAAACTAGTACCTGCCGCTTACTGTACGAGGCCTTCGCACGTCTTCTCTCTCATGCTTACAAGAGCCCTGCATTATCACCAGATGAGAAACCTGAGGGTCTGAAAGGCCATATAACTCCTAGGTTGGGCGGCCCGGCCCACAGCCCTCATTTCTACACCATAACCGCTGGGGTAGGCGCCCCCGGTCCAACACACACCCCTGAAACTGCCGCTAAGCCCCCTCCCCACCACAGTGTGGTGCCACATCCAGGCGTAGCCTTCCACGGAAGTGCCTCATGCCTCAAAATTACCTCAGATCCTCCCCCAGTTACCTCTTTCCACATTAAAACTCCCATTCCCCAAGTGAATCCCTGGAAAAACAGGGTTAGGACCACAAACTGATCAGACAGCTTCTCCCTGAAGTAGAAATGCCTGGCGTGCTTCCTAGCTGTGTGGGAGTCCTGAGGGTTAGCCCCCAGCGACTCTCTTACTAGTCTAATTTCAGGGAGATAATTTTGGTAGCTAACTCTTCTTTAAATTATACCCCCCCCCCCCAGCCGGTTTATTTCCTATAGAAGAGCCAGAAAATACTGGCATGTGTATGGCAGTTGAAGATCACTATTTCTTCCTTTCTGCCTCTTTCTGCCTCCTGTCCTGTTGAAGGAAGTTGGTCACTCTCTTGCCCCTGTCTCACCAACTTCCTGTCTGTGGCCTAGAACCGCACTGCCCCATCTCGTCCCTGTTCCTCCATGATTGGACTCCTCACACCAGGAAGGCGTGAAGGCAAGGGGTAGCCTCGGTCCTAGCAGCACTAGGGCAGAGGGTCTCTGGAATATGGCAGGGCCATGGGCAAAGCCCAGCCAGGGGAAGTTAGGCCCAGCTCTGTTCTGAGGGATTTTCAGAAGAGCCTCAGAACAGCACCTGTTCTGGCTTGGTCCTCTTCCCTCTGTTCCACTGTGGGGTTTTCTGTGGTGTTGCTTCACATGTGTGCCCTGTAAAAACACAGCCCAATAGTGAGTAGACACATCCTTCAGTGCACTGTGCCTCCTGAGTTCCTTCTGTGAACCGGGCAGCATAATGTGGCGGGGATTCCTGAGACTCCCCTATGGCGAGGGAGCCAGACCCTTCGATAAATAACTGTTCTAGGCAACCAGCCCCCTCATATAGATGCCAGCGGTGTGCTATAGAAACCGGGTGTGGACAGATTCATAGCAACTCGGGAGGGAGGATTGGAACCACCCTTGAAGAAAGAATAGCATTGCATTTAGTAAGTAGGTACTGGAAAAAATGGCTGTGCAGAAGCCCAGAAAGGGTGGGGGAAAGACTTGGAATGTTACCCTGGAGATATTGAAAGCTTTTGAACCTTAAGCTTCCACACAGTGACATGAGCAGTATCGGATGAACTTTGTTTCCAGTTGTATTTCATCTCAACAATTACTGAACAAATAGCTGGTTTGTAGATACGTCTTGTTCTATTTATATCAACACATTTTTTTAAAAGATGAAATTTGAATAACCTAACAGGATTAGAAATGGCATATTAGTAGGCCTAAAGATGCAAACGCGGAAATTTTTCAGGAAATTCGGAAAGTGCAGGGTCAGGGATATTCTCCCATGAATAGAAATTGCGTGTTCCACAAAATTACACTTAATCTGATAATAATGGTTTAACACAAAAAACTTTCCACTGTGTTCTTTCTCTGAAGGACAAGGACTAGGTAGCAATTGAAGAACATTTTATTTCAAATCTTTTATTCCTAAAATTTTCCATTTGGGGGATTCTTTTTTCTTTTTTTAATCATGCATATAACCAGCTTTTATATTTTAAGTGTCTTGAAAGTTCAACATTTCTAGGAGATAAGTAGGGTGTAAAATTAATTTTTTACTAAGGTCAGTAAATTTGTTTCAGATACCAGCTGCTTTCACTGTAGGTAAATGCAGAGACCTCCGCTCCTGCTGGGCTCCCCTTCCTGGTAAATGTGGGATCTCTCAACATCAGTGACAGAGATCCAGGCCATGCTAGGAGCAGGTGGGCAGAGCCCGGGCTCAAAGGCCATTCCTGTGACCCACGGAAATTATTATCTTTCAAGTCTATTTGGAATGACAGTGTTTGGCCTCAACTCTTCTGTTGACAAAAGGAGATTCAAACAAAACATTCATTGAAATGAAGATGTGGATGGTGTAGACTGCCAGGCCTGAGTTTGAATCCTAGTTCTGTCACTAATGACATGTATGACTTTAAACAAGATTTTTAACCCCTTTAAACAATGGGCATGGCCCCGCAGCGGGCTCCATGCTCGGCCTGTAGTCTGCTTAAGACTCTCTCCCTCTTCCTCTGCTCCTCCCCCTGCTCGTGCAGGTGCGCATGTGTGCACACACGCTCTCTCTCTCTCTCTCATTCTCTCTCTCTCTATATATATAATAAATAAATAAATCTTTAAAAAAATTTTTAAACAATGAGCATGAAGTATGAAAAGGTTCTACTCAATCCCCCTGGAATATGGGAGGTGGAAGTAGGCAAGGAAGCACCACGGAACTCAATTTGCTCATCCGTAAAATGGGGTCATAGTATTAGTTGGAGCGATTTGAAATTGCCAGTGTTCAACTGTTTTGACCTACAAAGATGGTCATTTCATTTGGTTCAACCAAATCCTTACCTTATGAAATGATTTATGTAAAGCACCAGGTCAGTGGCTGGTGAGCACCGAACAAATGGACATCTCCTGTCAGCAAAGACCTCTTGATAGTGACCCCCAGGACTCCCCAGAGGGACTGGACTCTCTGGACAGTATGTCCTCTGATCGCATGGAATAAGGAAAACAGCTCAGGATCAGACCTCCGTCTTCTCAGCTGGAAGAAGCTAGGAAAAACAGTGTGTTTTTTCTGAGCCCAGCTCTCTCATCATTAAATGAAGATAGTGGTGCCTACATTGAGTCAGCTCCAAGACAGAGAGAGAGTTTCTGTGAAGTTCTTAGCAGTGTCTTGGCTCATCATGGGCACTCAGGAAATCCTGGTTGTCCCTCCCCCGTAAGGGTAATCTTGAGGACTCTAGGGCAAAGGTGAGAGGAACCACTGTGTGTGAATCAAAAATTCCTATTGCCAAAAGCAAAAAATTCTAGAAAACTTTTCTTCATATTTTTCTTGCCACCCTTAGAACCATATTTTCTAGAATAAGAAGAAAACTTCAAGATCATTTTACAACCCCTTTATGCCAGGGACTGATGCCCAACATCATACACTGAGCTAGGAACAAACCTGGCCCCCAAATCAGGACTCCTGACATGTGGGCAGAACTCTTCCTAATAGAACAAGTGCCTTCTTACTTGTTTGGAACTCTGCCCAGGGAATATAGAGAATCTTGGAGCATTTTTTATAAATATTCATAAATAGTACTTCCCTGGGAAAGAGGGGCTCATTTATTACGGTCATTTTTTAAATACCACTAGCAGATTTTGCTATATGACATTTATCAGAATGGGGCACCAAGATAAAAAAAAAAAAAGTTTTGAAGAAGTGGAAGAAGAAAACATTGTAGACACATACATATAAGTTTAAGATTTTATTTATTTATTTGAGAGAGAATGAGATAGAGAGAGAGAGCATGAGAGGGGGGAGGGTCAGAGGGAGCAGACTCCCTGCTGAGCAAGGAGCCCGATGCGGGACTCGATCCTGGGACTCCAGGATCACGACCCGAGCCGAAGGCAGTCGCTTAACCAACTGAGCCACCCAGGCGCCCACATATAAGTTTAAAGAGAAAGAGTATGGGGAATATGAGTAGGTAAAGAGAAAGAAAAAAATTTTCTCTCAAGATCTACTTTTTTGTAGATCTTTTTGTAAAATTTTGTAAACAAAATTTTAGAACAATTAAAATCCAAGCTATTATTCAAACATCTTGAAGATCATATAACCATTTCTCTTCCTAGAATTAGCTAGCTTTAAATATTGAAATGTGGCATTTAGCTCGAGATTGCAATGACTTAACAGCTTTGAAAACACTTTTCTAGGTCCTCTGGACCCCTCGGATGCTGTCAAATGGTGTCCAGTTCTCAAGAGTCAGTCCAGATGGTGAGGAAGGTTACCCTGGAGAGTTGAAAGTCTGGGTGACATACACGCTGGATGGTGGGGAGCTTATGATCAACTATCGAGCCCAGGCCAGTCGGACCACACCGGTCAATCTGACCAACCATTCTTATTTCAACCTGGCAGGCCAGGTAAGTGGACTTTCCTCTGCTCTCCTGCTGTAGCATAAAGGGTAACTTGCCTCTTCTCTCCTGCCATGTGCTTTGTGTGACCTGGGGAGTGGCTGGAGAGACCAACCCAGGACGGAATTACTCTTGCAATGGGGTCAACCCTGGCGTTGAGGAAAAATGGCTAGCAAAGCTGCAGACTCATAGTAGGTGCTCAATAAATGGAAGTTACAAAGAAAGATAGAATGAGTACATTGTATTACCCAGAGAATTATCTCTTTCCCACATGTTCAGACAAGGAACCAGCTATTTCAAGAACTCCCTTTCATCTCACTGTGACATGAGCTTACATTTGCTTCCTCATTCCACTCCTACCCCTAAAAGTTTCCAGTTAAGGCACTTTCCATCCTTGGAATTTTAAAAATGGGCTTGGCTCAGCCCCTTTAGACATGCTGCCAACATTTGTATGCCTCCAGCATGTAGCCCACCATAGGAGTGCTATAGAGAGACTCCCCACCCCTCAGTAATCCCCTCAACACTACCTTATTCCCTCCTAATGGTAATATTTGAGGTTGTTGAGGAGGCTGTTACATGAGGCAGAGTAGAAAGTTTAGCTAAACTCTGTAGACTCTATCTATTACTTCCTCTTCATCTAAAAAGCTCATCATTGTCTACTATACTTGAATTGCTTTGGCATGATTTCCTACCACAAGATGATGTTCACAGCCAACTAGTAATATCTTGCATTTTTACACTCTTTTAGGAGTCTGCTGACGATGTGCTGCTTTTTTTTCCTAGGATCTTTCCAAATAGCACAAATTAATTGGTTCTTATGTAATTTCCAAAGTTCTCCCCTTAAAAATAAAGAAAGAATTCTAAACTTGCCTATTGCTTATCCTCAGAAACTTCCACCATCCTCCTTAAGATCTTAAAGACTGGGGCACCTGGGTGGCTCAGTCGGTTAAGCGTCTGCCTTCAGCTCCAGTCCTGACCCCGGGGGTCCTGGGATCAAGCTTCTTGCTCAGCAGGGAGCCTGCTTCTCCCTCCCCCTCTCCCTCTGTCTGCCGCTCCCCCTGCTGTGCTCTCTCTCTGTGTCAAATAAATAAATAAAATCTTTAAAAAAAAAAATCTTAAAGACAAACCAAAAACCAAAACCCAAACAAACATACCCAGCCATAGAGGCTCTGCAATAATGTGCATAAAGACCCTCCTTTTCTAATAAGTTCAGAAAGAAACTTGACAGAAAGAAACAATTGGTGGTTTTTTATAGGTAGTAGATCATGGTGATTTTTTACTATTTTCTACATTTTTGTATACTTAGGACATCCTATTTTATAATCTAAAGAAATAGATTCAGAAATGGAAATTATACATTAAATATGTAAGTATCTGATGATGTATTCCAATCAAGGAGACAAAATGGGAATGCAAGTTCACTATGGCTCTGTCCATTTACCAGGCAGGAGGACCCTCGCAGGTCACAGACCCACCCACAGGGGTAGTCAACGTTAACCCCCTTCTGTATACTGTCTTAGTGAGTGCAACTGGAATCCACAGCCACTAGCTTCAGGGTTGAGGATGGGAGAGGGCCATTAGCCCTTTGGGGCCCTTTGATGAGAGTGGGTGGTCACTCACCAGGCCTGGGGTCCAGGGGCCTCTGCATCTTCAGAACATCTCTTACCGTACCCAGGAAAGCATTATTATGTGTCTTAAACCCTCCCCAGGTAAATAACTCAAAACTTGATCATTTAAAATGGTCAGCTCATCTTATGTATTTTCTTGTTGCTTGTTTCTTTCTTTTTTAAATTTAATAAGCGATATGTTTGTTCTACCTGGGGCCAAATTTTGACTCATCACTTCTAAGATTGAGTGTTGATGGCCTGGGGGAGGAGAGAACTGTGTTTTTCAAAGAATGGAAAAGGTATATGGGTTGCAGGTTGTTTGGGCTTTGTTTGTTGTCCTCCTTCCTTCCTTATCTAACCCCAAACTGGGCAATGAAGCAGCCTGGGGGGAATTTGAGATGAAAGGCAATAGTGGGGTTCCAGCCTGACTGGAGAGGTACGTCAGCAAACACCCGGGTTCTTCCATCTTCCCATTCTGCCTCTTCAGTGTTTTGGCTCTTGTCTTCGGGCTCATTGTCTCCTGGCCGCAAGATGGTTGTGACCCGCAGCTCCAGGAATCACGTCTTCGTGTAGTCGCACCCAGAGGCAAAAAAGAACCTATTCCTTTTTTTCATATCTCTAATGTTCCATTTTTAAGAATAAACAAAACTTTTCCCAGAGGCTCTCCAGCAGCCTTTGCCTCACAGTTCATGGGCCAGAAGTGTGTCCCATGCCCTGCCTAACCGAGTACCAGCAAGGGAATTGGACCACCCGGTGGGATTAGGGAGGGCGTCCTTTACCCCGAGCATATGACCCTAGCACAGGACGACTCAACAAGGCAGCGCTCTGCCAGGGGCAAACGAGGGTGCCAGGAAGGGAGGTGCGGTGGCTTGGGGTTAGTACTCGAGTGTCGGTGCTACCCTGCTCAAGGTGAGGAGAGCTGAATGAAGGCCATCCTAGTGGCAACGCATGCAGAGGTCTGTAAAGCCCCGGGCAGGCCACAGAGGGCTTTATAAATGCTTAATGTTCTGAACGAGTAGCAGCTGAGCAAAGCTAACCAAAACCAACAGTGAACCCAGAGATGGGCCTCAAGAGCTCTTGGTGGATCAGCCTTCCTTGCCAGGTTTTCATCGGCCTAGAAAGGAAATGAATCCAGCAGGAATATTCCACCAGAATGGATCACTGAATTATTCCAGGTCAGAAGAATGGTAAAATGAAGCCTGCTTCCCTTTCATAAAGGAACATAGGTGCCGCTTGGTGACCCGATGCATTAAGGGAGTGGCTCTCTCATAAATGTTCCTTTCCTTCTCCCCCAACCCAGGCTTCTTCTTAACCTCTCAGACTCCTTAGTTTATTTAGTGTGTGATTGAATCATTTTCTTCCTGCCCTAGTGCTACAAAACAAACAGAAAAAAGGAAATTCCTAAGCAGCTTTATTCATAATAGTAAAAATACTGGAAACAAGCAACAGTCTACCAAATATTCATACAATGGAATACTACTCAACCTTCGGCTGAGCATCGAGTGGATAGAGCCAGGGAAACAGTCCCCAGTTCTCTTCCCTCATCTCTGCTCCCCTCAGGCCCAGAGGCCTCTTGGGTGCTGGCAGGACCCCTGAGGCATGAGGGGATGGGAGTAGGGGGAGCCCGCCAGGAGAGACCCCTTCTAGTCTGGAGCTGCTGTAGGTGGTGGTGCAGAGCCCTCCCATTTTGGACCTACCTTCTCAGGTCAGAACAGGGACCAAACGAGTGACTAAGGTAGAGACTATGGGAACAGAGGAGAGGCCTCTGCCCTGGCCTTGCCTCCAGTCCCCTCCTACCCCTGCCCACGTGTACCCACTGGGAGGGCACAAGACCAGGGCAGTTCTTGAGGAACAGAGCCTCCTCGGAGTGTAATTAAAGCAATTTCTGGCCTGTTTAGACATAGATTCTCATGGCCTCTAAAATCCTGGCATTTCTCCTCAGGACGACTCCATTTGATTGTGTGGGCCTAAGTCTTTCTGACTAGAGGATCTGTTTCGGTTAACCCACAGGGATCTGCCTCCCTCTGCTTGCTTCTCAAGAACCCAGCTTAGCTTTCAGTTTAGCTTAGCTTGGAGTTTCTCAACCCAAGCACATTGACATGTTGGGTCACACAATTTCTTTGTTGCAGGGCTGTGCATCATAGGGCGTTGGGCAGAATTCCTGGCCTCTTCCCACCACACGCCAGTAGCTTTACCACCTCCAGTCATGACAATCAAAAATGTCTCCAGAACATTGCCAAATTTTGCCCTACGGCAAGATCATCCCCAGTTGAGAAGCACTAGTTGAGCTTAGTTTTGAGCATTCACCAAGCAGAAGCCCTCTCCCAGTTCCCCTTGCACGACTTCTGCTGTGAAGCTTGAAAATACAGTATTCAAATATAATCCTTTTTATCAGAAACCTGTATGTGTCCCTGCCAATTTCCAAGCAGCACAACATAGCTTTATTAACCGTCCTTCACAAACACCCTGGAAAAGGTAGAAAAGGAGCATCATTGGCCTGTTTTACCCTGAAGGACAAGAGATTCTAGGCTAAGTGATTTCCCTGGGGCCACTCCACGAGAACCGGAACTAGACCCCGGGCCTTCTGGCTACTGACCCATCTTTGACTCCTCCCTGCCCCCCCCGTCCCCCCCCCCCAAGGCAGGCTGCATCTTTAATGGAAGAGATGAGCGAGCTCCCAAATGTAGGAACTCTACTTCTGACTGCCAGGCTTCTGTCCTGTGGTACAGAGTGGGTCCCCTGGGTGGGAGCTGGGCCAGAGAAGGGGGACAGGTACCCCACCTCCAAGCCTGGAGGCAAGATGTTGGCCATCCAGCACTTGTGTGTTCCAGGTCAACAACTATTGCTCTTCTGTTTGCCTAGCATGTGGGGAGAGTGGGAGAAACCCCTCTGTTAATAAGCCAAAGTTGAAAAGTCTTTCAAACCACTGATGTCTCTCTGACTTTTCACACTCGTAATTCCACTTAGACAAGAAGATGCATGCTGGGGTCACCCTCAAAAACTTCTTCCACATATATCAGTTGCTATGTTGAGGACCTATCTACCTATGCTTAAATGAACATATTAATCATCGCCATAGGTCAAATGGGATTTCTAAAGTGTTTGTCAATGCCTGAAAACATTTCTGCAGAGAAGTTAAAAAGCAAAAATACCTGGGGCGCCTCGGTCACTCAGACGGTTAAGTGTCCAACTCTTGATTTCCACTCAGGTCATGATCTCAGGGTCGTGGGATCAAGCCCTGCATGGGTCTCCTCGCTGAGCACTGAGCGCTGAGCATGGAATCTGCTTGGGATACTCTCTCCCTCTTCCTCTGTCCCTCCCCCCACCCCACCTCCCAGCTCACGTGCTCTCTCTCTCTCAAATAAATAAATCTTAAAAAAAAAAAAGCAAAAATACAAAATAAGACTAAGCATTAGATCTTCTTTTCTTTCTCTACCTTTCTGTCCCAGGGTTCCCCAAACATATACGACCATGAAGTCACTATAGAAGCTGATGCCTTTTTGCCTGTGGATGAAACCCTGATTCCTACAGGTTGGTGAACTTCAACGTTTTTACAGGAATGCAGAGCTGCGGTGTGATTGGGAGAGTACCGAAACCTCATTTACCTAAATTTATTTTCTCTGTTGGCCCGCCAAATTGCCTATAATTACCATGATTAGTCATTTATGTGGGTTAAGGTTGGGTGGCCATATAATTAAACACCCAAGCCAGGACACTTTTGAGAGGGAAAGGGGATGCTATTAATAATTAAGCTTGGGCAACTGGGCAGTTCTAAACAAACTGGGTCAGACGGCCATCCTAGCTGAGCCGTAGACGGCAAGAGTTCTCTGCTAAAATGTAAATCAGGTACTTCTTAGCACCTCAGCGGAGCTAAATTTACCTAAGCATTACCTCCCCAATGCAGGACACTGACAGAACACAACTTGGCTTTAGATGGAGGAGGAAAGGTTGGACCCCGGGGAGGACAATGCATATGTCACCTCTGAGACACAGTTGGGGGGGTGGGGTAGCATGGAGAGTCCACAGTATCAAAAGGGAAGGTGAGGTGTTACCAAACTCAAGCCTTATGGGGTGTGTGTGGGGGGGGCGCCTCCTAGGTTAACTGGATTGAGATCATCTTGGTTATTATTATATGTGATCAAAACTACCTTAGTTCAAATAGGCAAATCCATAGCTCCGTAGAGATAGAAAGTAGATTAGGAGGTTGCCAGGGGCTGGGGACAAAGGGAATGGAGAGTGACAATTGGTACAAGATTTTTTTGGTAGGGGGTGATGAAAAGATTCTGGAATTAGATAGTGGTGATGGTAATATCCTGTAAATATACTAAACATCTGTAAATATACTAAACACTACTGAACTGTGTACTTTAAAAGGGTGAATTTTGTGGTATGTGGATTATATCTCAACTAAAAACAAGAAAGAAAGAAACAAACAAACAAACTTGGTTTCTGTGTTGTCTCCAGGATTAAGTGGTGTAGATTTGTACTGGATTGCAGGTGTACTGCCATCTGCCTCCAGGGGACAGATGGATGACAGCAAGGTGGCTCGCAGGGGTGCTGTTGTTTGTGGCAGCTTATAGAAATTTACTTGAGGTAATTACCCCAAAGCAGTAGATAAATATTCTTATTTAGGTTTCATTAAAATCAGAGCTGAGGGGGCGCCTGGGTGGCTCGGTCGTTAAGCGTCTGCCTTCGGCTCAGGTCATGATTCCAGGGTCCTGGGATCGAGCCCCGCATTGGGCTCCAGCCCCGCATTGGGCTCCCTGCTCTGGAGGGAAGCCTGCTTCTCCCTCTCCCACTCCCCCTGCTTGTGTTCCTGCTCCCGCTGTGTCTCTCTCTGTCAAATAAATAAATAAAATCTTTAAAAAAAAAAAATCAGAGCTCAGGTAAGTGTAGAAGGCTTAGCCAGAGAAAAAGTAAACAAAAGCAGAGGATGAAGGGAAAGAAGAGCAGAAATCCAGAACCACACAAACACTTTTGCATGAGCTCTGCTTCCCCTGGGAAGAAGAGCTGCTGCCTGCTGCCCCTTGCTTGGCTGGCCAAGATCTCCTGCCTGTGTGACAGCAACTTAGAGGTGCCAGGTCGGAGCCCCTTTGTCAGAGCACTGCTGTCTTGTGTTCCACTCTCTTAGGCATCCGTTCAGAGCTCCAGCCTTCCATCAGCCCATCCGGTGGCACCTACTCGTGGAAGGTCAGGAAGGCCTTTCCCCCTGTTCCCAACCCCTGGAAGGGTGCTGCTACTTCTTTGCTTGTCTCCTCTGCTAGTAAAGAGCTTAGAATGACAGAATATGAGCACTCTGAAGCCAAGGGCATCATCATAATCAAATAATCAAGTTTTATATCACCACTAGTAAGATGTGTTGTACCCTCCTCATATGATGTCCTGGAAAAGCACATCATCTGTGTCATATTCTGTCAGAAATGCCTAACGCCATTCCATTCAGAAGGCATCACGTGAACCCAGTTGAGGGACAGTCTACAAAATAATTAAGCAGTACTCTTCAGGGGTGTCAAGGTCATGCTGGCCTTGAAGCAAGACTGAAGAATGGTCACAGAAGAGACTAAGGAGGCAAGGACAACTAAATGCAATGGGAGATCCTGGACTGGATCCTGAGCCAGAAAGAGGACCTTAGTGGGAACACTGGTGAAATTCTAGTGAAGCGTGTAGTTAATAGTATTGAACCAGTGTTAATTTCTTAGTTGTGATCATTGTACCACGGTTATCTATGATGTTAACATTGGGGAAAGGACAGGTATACAGAGATGTACTTTTTTTTTTTTAAGATTTTATTTTTAAGAAATCTCTACCCTCAGCGTGGGGCTCAGACTCACAATCGTGAGATCAGGAGTCGCATGCCGCACTGACTGAGCCAGCCAGGCACCCCCAGAGATGTACTATTTTTGTAACCTCTCTGATGTCTAAAATTATTTCAAATTTTTTAAAAAAAATTTTTAAAAGCCCAGGGCTCCAAGTAAGATATTTTAATTTTCCTGGACACCTGCCTTACTTTATAGGTAAGGGCTTTTGTTTTATTTGGGTGTCTTTAATAAAATAATGGGGTTGTGTTTATGGCCACCAGTTCAAAATTTGTATGAGGAAAATGGTAAGAATGTGAGCCTGCGTGCTAAGCAGCAACTCCTGTGAACAGCAGGAATTAGAAACCCAGAAATATAGGGACTACAGAGCTCATTAGAATAATAACGAGAAATCAAGATAAATGGATTAAAAATTTGTGCATCGCAGTTTTCCTTGCTCCAGGGCTGGGTTTAAAGGCTTTTACATTTTTCTTGGTAACATGTGTCATCTTCTGATATTTGCGTGACTCAGTGTGAGGATGAGTAACCAGCCCATCCTGTCCTAGATGCCACAGGATTGCATTAGAACTCCGTATTGTGAACTCCAAAGGGAAAATGGTGGCAGCTGCTGGTTTGTGACTGAAAAGGAAGGAAGTGAATTCAGTAGCTTTTAGGTGGAGGTGATGAAATTAGTGCATATTTATTTGTGTATATTTATAAAATCTTATGTTGTCCTGTTGCATTTTGATCAGATGAAAATCACAAAAATGCGTAATTCATGCCGTGTAAAGATTATTTGTCATGATGGTAAGAGAGAATTGTGGCAAAGCACCGTAGAGCTCAGCATGTAGTCTAATGGGATGCAGAAAACTCATGGTCAGCTCAGGTCTGCACTGTGAATGGTTTTAGGATCAAATTCTATACTTTGTACTAATTTTGAACAGGGCTGTAAGGGCTCTGGACCCTGGGAGTCAAGAGCCCTGGTTTTGGTCTGGGCTCTGCCGTTAACTCGCTAGGCAACCTTCAGTGTATGTGTAATGCTTTAACATTTAACTTCCCTACGCCCTCATTTCCTTTTCTGCAAATGGGAGGGATGTTGAACTCAATCCAACATTATGGACCTGTAAATTTTCTTTAAAAAATAATTTGAGGGGCGCCTGGGTGGCTCAGTCGGTTAAGCGACTGCCTTCGGCTCAGGTCATGATCCCAGGGTCCTGGGATCAAGTCCCACATCGGGCTCCCTGCTCTGCAGGGAACCTGCTTCTCCCTCTCCCCCTCCCCCTGCTTGTGTTCCCTCTCTCGCTGTGTCTCTCTCTGTCAAATAAATAAATAAAATCTTAAAAAATAAAAAAAATAAAAATAATTTGAGAGACTTACATGGGGTTGCCCAACTTTTCATTTTGCCAAGTTGGAAAGCAATCATAAATATAGGGCTATTAAAACTAATGGGAATGTATGTATATATATTTCAATTTAAAAAAATAATTTAAACTAACCGGGGTAATAATGAGGGACAGAAATAAAGAGACTAGTGGTGCCTGGCTGGTTTAGTCAGTAGAGCATGTGACTCTCAATCTTGAGATCCTGAGTTCAAATCCCATGTTGGGCGTGGAGCCTATTGGGGGGGGGAAAAAAAGGAAGAAATAGACTACATTTATTTTTTTTAAAACCCAAGCTGCCGTTTATAATCACCATCTTTTTATAAAAGAAAATATTTTAATAGCACAAAAGTGGGGAAATTTTAATCTCAGAATAAAGAACACCCCTTTAAATTGAATTCATCTTGCTTTTTAAAGAAATGTGATAGATTATCCAAATACATCTCTGTTTTCTGTAGACCAGTAAAAATGTTATCATGGACTCATGATTATGAACCAGTAATTGGTCTGAAAGATCACTTGAAGTGCTTACATTCCATGATTCTACAAGGCTCTTATTTATAACATCTTACTGCTATTTTTCTGCCACCCTTCAAATCCATTAGAACTCTGTCATGAAAGCAGAGTTTTCATGTTGCAACAAGTTCAGAGCACATACAAAAATCCGTAAGTCTCTTTTACCTATCCATACATTAGCCAGTCTTACAGAAGCTATGTCTGCCCAGTGACACTTCAATTGAAATTATAGGGTTTTCTTCCTCCCCTTTGTCAGAAATGTGTAAGGAACAAATGAATTGTATGTTTCCTTCGGAACTGCCTCCAGAAATGGGCGGTCACTTCCACTCTGCCCTGCCCTGATGGAAGAATTCATAGGTCTGACCCTCTTTCAGCCAAGAACAAATCTCTGGGAGCCCAGATTTCATCGGATTCTTAACCCTGACCCAAAGCCCATGAGTGTGTGGCTTAACTCAGACCAGTCCAAAGTCATTTGGTCATTTGGAAATGCCTCCCCTCTGCTGCTGGGCTCACCAGCAATCGACAGTCTAGTGAAAGAGTCAGCCAGAATATTATCCATTAACCTGGAAAATGTCAGGATAGATAGAACTCAGAGACTTGCTTCAGAGGAAAAGCGCAGCCTGGGGGCTCCCAGATGGAGGAGATGTGAGTTAAATAAAACCTGCAAGGGCAGGTGGAGATTTGCCAGGCAACGAGGAGAAAGGTGTTCTGGATAGAGAAGAACAAGGAAAGGGAGTACAGGAACAGCAGGACTATGCTCAGGAAAGCGCTGCTCTTCTGAAGGATCCGGGGTGTGCTCTCAGTGGCAGAAAATCAACGGGCGCAGAGGGGTTGGCTGGGA